CGCCCGGTATTGCCCCTGCCCTGCCCGGTATTGCCCCCCGCCCGGTATTGCCCCTGCCCTGCCCGTCGTTTCCGGGCTCAGGGCAGCTCCGGTAACCCCAGAGCAGTTTCGGGGTTACCGGGGGCGGTGTCCCCGGGGGCGGTGTCGGTGTCCCCGGGGGCGGTGTCGGTGCCGTGTCGGTGTCCCCGGGGGCGGTGTCGCGGCTGTCGCCGTGTCCCCGGGGGTGATGCGGGCGCTGAGGGCGCTGCGGCCCCGCAGGCTCCTGGCGATGGCGGCGGCGGCGGCGGCGGCGGCGGTCGGGGCCGGGGGGGTGCGGCGGACCCCGGTGCTGACCCCCGACTCCATGAACCCCGCCATCCGCCGCGTGGAGTACGCGGTGCGCGGCCCCATCGTGGTCCGCGCCCTGGAGCTGGAGCAGGACCTGCGCAAGGTACCGGGAGAGAAATCCCAGAAAAGTAACCGGGATAAACCCGGACCGCACCGGGAGAAACCGGGGGAAAGAGCCCGGGGCGGACCGGAGCGGGAGAAGGGGATTCCGGACCGGGAGAAACCGGACCGGAGCGCGAGAAGGGGATTCTGGACCGGGATAAACCGGACCGGGGTGGGAAAAGGGGATTCCGGACCGGGACACTCGGTCCTGGACTGGGAAAGGGGGATTCTGGACCGGGATAAACCGGACCGGAGCGGGAGAAGGGATTCCGGACCGGGAACTGTCCCTAAGAACCGGGACACTCAGTCCTGGACCGGGACCTGCCCCCTAGGAACCGGGCCAGCCCGTCCCGGACCGGGAGAAGGCGATCCCGAACCGGGCCAGCCCATCCCGGACCGGGAGAAGGCGATCCCGAACAGGGACAGCCCGTCCGGGACTGAGAGAACACGATCCCGAACCGGGACAGCCCGTCCCGGACCGGGAACTGCCCCCAAGAACCGGGACAACCGGTCCGGGTCTGGGACAAGGCGATCCCGGACCGGGAACAGCCCCCAAGGACCGGGATAATCCATCCTGGACCGGGATAACCCAACCCTAAACCGAGATAACCCCCCGGAACCGGGATAACCCCCCCTGGAACCGGGATAACCCAACTGCAAACCGGGATAACCCAACTGCAAACCGGGATAACCCCCCCTGAACCGGGATAACCCCCCCTGAACCGGGATAACCCCCCCCCTGGACCGGGATAACCCAACTGCAAACCGGGATAACCCAACTGCAAACCGGGATAACCCCCCCTGAACCGGGATAACCCCCCCGGACAGGGATATCCCGACCCCAAACCGGGATAACCCCCCCGGACCGGGATATCCCGACCCCAAACCGGGATAACCCCCCCGGAACCGGGATA